TGAAAGATATTGTCACCCTGATCACTTAGAGCATAAACACACATCCCTGAAAGAAATACTCCAAATCCTGAAAAATGTATCTGGAAATTGGTATTCACAATGTGGTACCAGAAAATAACTTGCCATGAAACAGTGGCTGGAGGCCATAAGAGAAGATAATTAGTTGGAAAACTGGTGGATGAAGTGAAAAGGGAAATGGATAAAATAAATAAAAACTTCAAGTAAATTATAAACACAATAGCAGGGTTAAAATTCACTGTAGATATCACACTAAATGGAGACAGTGATATAGAATCTTAAACTGAGAAGTTCTGCAAGAGAAAAATTTTTTAAAGGTAACAATGATGTGAAAGAAGATGATAGATCTAGACACAAAGAACAAAACCCCAAATAAGTTGTATTCCTAAATGAGAGGAAAAGATAAATGAGCAGTGATAAAATAAACATGGAAATTTTTTAGTTAAAAATAGAGATGGAAAGTGCCTGTTTTGATTCAATGAAAGAAGACATCTATGCTTAAATAAGTATTAAGAAAACACTAATTCATTAAAAGGTAGAAAAAATTTTACAAATGTCTAGATACAAACAACAGAAAACCAAGCAAACAATGAATAAATGAAAATGAGGCCGACCACAGACTTTTCCCACAGTAACACTGAATGTCAGAAGACAATGGAATGATGTCTGTTGAGCCTGCTGTTCACCTGTGAACAAAAGAGAAAGATGCCTTACTTTGTAAAAGTACTTACATTATAAACTTTAGATACTTACATTGTAAAATTTACTTGAACATATTCCAAAAGATTAAGGTCTAAAGTAAAAATGGATAGTCTCAGCATGAGAAAATCATGGTAACTAACAACAATCTGGAAGTAAAGAAGTCATGTGTCTAAATAGTTGTTATATTTTTTATTATAAAGTAGATGTAAATCTAGAAAATATTTTTGAAAGAGAAGAAACGTACAGAAAGCAATAATTTACTCTGAGCTAAAACCCAACATACACCACTAAACGGTGTATGTTGGATTATATAGAGTGAACACTATTAGAAACACAGACTAGGAAATGCAGTGAGTATTAATTAAATCTAACACATCTCTTAGTTTTGGATAACTCAATAAGGAAAAGAAAAACAGATACAGAAGCTAAAATGATTATATTACAAACAAGTGTATTTGGTAAATTTCTAACAAACTTTGTGCTGTCTTTAGACTTTGCTGTGTTGTCCACTATCTCTGAATCTTTAGAGGTGAAGGAAATCTTTAAGTGAAGGAAATGCAGAAAATTCTCACAGGCAGCAATTGTACCACCTGCATTCTCCTACCTCAATGCAGTTGAGTTAGACTTTCTATCAAGTTCTCTTGAGCTTGTCTAAAATGTGTTCATTTTGGACCAATAATGGTATAGGTCACAATCAACTCTTCCTCTTAGCATAGCTAAAAGAACACTCCAAACAGCCTTCAATAAATACCCAAAGCAAAGGACGGAACTGAGAGGGAGGAAGCAGAGATGACTGGAGGGGACATTACCGGAGAGGAGGACAAACCCACACTCCGCCCTTTGTCTTCCCAGATGAGGGTTTTCCATTTCCTTCCTGGCATATCATGGCTTTTAGCTTCTGTCCAGTCTTAGTCTGTTCAGGCTAAGTCTGTTCACCAAACAAAATACATTGACTTAAGTGGCTTACACAACAGAAATTTATTTTCTTACAGTTC